TTCGCATGAACTTTCATTTTTCCATTTGCTTTCTCTAATACTGCCACATAAAAAGGCTTAGGTTAATTACATGCATGCCTTGATTTTAAAGGGTGTAACGTAACAAAGCAGGCTATCTAAAGCTTCCTTAACAATACATCGAAGCAGAATAAAACTTACTTTCTTGAATCCTCTAAAACTGAGGTATAGCTCTAGAAATAAAAGAATCTGGTTCCTCAAAGGAAAAAAATGTTTAGGAATTCTTAATTAGTAATTCTATGGCTAAACAAACTCCTATTTTTGTTACACTCATTTACTCATTGAATACTGTAACAGAATCAGGAAAAAAATATCTTCTTTAGGAGGACAGAAATCCAAAGGAAAAATATTGGACATTGGTGGCTTTCTGCATTTTATTATTATTTTTTTTTTTAAAGTCCCTTTAAAAATATTTTGAGATGTAAATAACTATCCTCCCTCTTTGGAGTTCAGAAGAACAGGAATCCTCATGTTTTCTCCACACTATAGAGCTACCACCTTCTACAAGAAGATGTAAAAGTTGTTCAAAAGAGCAACATGTAGTCACAAAGGACAGCATCCCTCAGAATCTTCATTTCACCTCCAACCATGCCATGTCTCATTGTAAGCTTCAGTTCCAGAACTGTGCATGAAAATTGATGGCACAATAATTTCTGATACTAAACTTCATAATTAAAAGTTTCTTTCAAGATTAAATGAGGACAAGTCATAAACACAGTTCCCAGTGTTCTGAATACTTAAGCACCCTTAACTTGAGCTCAAAAGAGGCACATAAATGCAAATATTCACAGGATCAAGTTCCAAAAGTAAAATCTTAAAGTTTTATGGGCTAATAAATAACAACAATCTGGGAAGAAGGGTTAGCTTGTGCATATTGGTAATAGTATCTTCCCAATTTGAAAATAGCTGTTAAAGATAAATTGAATGTTATGATTCACAGGAAAAACTGTTATTTAATGCTAGAAAATACTTGGATCTTAAATCATGTTCATTCTAAGAAAATCCTCAGTTTCTTATTGATGCCAAATTTTTCCAGTATTTTTTTGTAGGCATAACAATAACTTCCAAAGCTAGAAAGACGACGACAGCTAGGCACAAAAATACCCTCAGTTTCCATTACCCATCTTAAACCACTGCTACTTAAATGATCAGCTTTTCCATACGTAGCCCATAACCTCTGCGCTACAAGAAAGAAGTTACTTAAAACAGTACAAGACCAAAAACTTTGATCAACGTACCTATCTTTTTTCAAGGCTACACGGTCCATGGCCCCAACTCTTATAGCCCATCACTCAACATACACTTTCAGTGTTCAATGCCATAAAAAACAAAATCACAACATGTAGATGATTATTTATGCAAGAGTTTTTATTAAAGTTGAACTAAACCATGGCCAGAAAAGAATGGCTAATGGCATTTACTTGCCTCCAATAGAAAAATAAGCCCTGTTAATTTGCTGTTAAAGGACAGCCTCGTTGCTTTGCTGTGAGAATCCTAAATAAGGAGGTGTTTCTACTGCGTTATGTTCTCCCCACAAGTTGCATTGTACCTGTACTGGGATTTTGGATCAAGAGCCTCTGTTTATATCTAGTGCCCAGAACTGCTTTCTTACAGTTAATGAAACACAGGAGTTATACATCACAAGGTCATCTAAGTTCTCCTTCTCACCTCCCACTTCAGTTGGAATCTGGGCAGAACTCGATCTTTAAGAACACACTTTACACAAATGGAAGCATTTTTGGCATCAGAAATTACACCAGTTACATTTATTCAATATTTTCATCATAGATAACAGGCTATTCATTACCTGCTTCCAAAGTACAATTATTTCCAAATTAATGATATTAAATATCATTTTATAGCATAAGCTTAATGCTTTATCAGCCTCTGAAATAGTGCCACTCTGTAGAGAGAGTACTACAGAAAAGTACTACAGAAAAGTAGTACTTAAAGTACTGATCGAAGAACAAACAAAATGGGAATCCAATAAGGTGAGATTCTCAGGCAATCTTCTGTCACCTTAACCAGATGCAATATGGAACAACAGTCACACAACCTACAAAGACAAATTCTACCACAGACAGATGAAAGAAAGCCCTATAGCCAAGCTAGCCATTCTAACAGACCAGGTGGGGTCCAAACAAAAACAAACCAGAAAAGGCAACAGATGCACAGAATAGCCACTGTGGGAAAGAACAGCTTAAGAAGATCATCAGTTCAATTCCCATCAAAAACAGTTCCAATTAGATTACATTTTCCAGCACATTGTTCAGTTTTTAGCACCTCCAAGGATGGAGATATCACAACCCTGTTTAGTTAGCCTATTCCAATGCTTCATCAGTCTCAAGACAGAATTACATTCCCCCTCCATCCAGTATCTAGCTAGAATTACACTTGTCACAACATGTTTGTTCTGTTGTTAAACATCTGAAAGAAATGTTCCCTGTATTAACTACTAAATAGGCATAGGAAAGTAATGAGATTTCCTCTTAATGATCTCAAAACTAAACAAGCTCAATTTTCAGTCTCATCTTACTTGTGATCCAGCACTCTGTACCATGGCGTCCTCCACTGGATCCACTCTAGTTTGTAACAACTTTTCTTTTACAAAGGAGCCTACTGATCACAGTAATTTCAGTATGGCCTCACTCCAAAACGGTCTCAAAGTGAAGTGCTAATCCACTGTGGTCTCACAAAAGGAATGATTGCTTCCTACAACCTGCTGCCATAGTGCTAACACAGCACAACACGTAGTCAGTCCCCTTTTGCTAGGATGCACTGCTCATCAGTGATGTAGGTCCCTTTCTGTAGAGCTGCTTCAAGCCGGTTGACCCCCTGCTTATATCAAAAGTTGTTCCATGCCACATATAGGACTTGGCAGCCCAATGTTAATCCCCACGGTGCGCCACTAGCACGTGGCCACCTTCTGAACCTTACGTGGCTCATCACTATCCTTTAAACCTGCCAGTCTATCTGATCGTTTACTTGCCTAGCTGGCATCTCCCCATTTTGGCAATAAAAATACTATAGTAGATTGAGTGGAAGATCCTGCTAAAAACTGAACAAAATGCACTGTGCTCTCCTTATCTTCACACCAATCACAGAAGGCAACTAAGTCAATCAGGCACAATCTGCCACTGTTAAAAGCTTACTGCTTCCAATCACCTTTTAGTTCTTCCTATGTTTGGAAATAGCTTCCAGAAGGACTTCATAATATATTTGCAGTTTCTCAGGTGCTCCTTCTTACCCCTGTTGAAAAGCAGGCATAATACTTACTTTTCCTAACCTCTGTGAGCTTTCAGTGATGACAGAAAGCAGCACAGCATCAGCCGGTTCTCCTGGATGCACATCATCTCATTCCACTGACAAGCAATTGTGCAACTTGTTCAAGTACTCCCTAGCCATCATCTACCATAAGGATTCCTTTCTACAAACTTTAACACCAGCCTTCAGGTTCTGGTAGGGCAGAAGACAAATCTTACTAGTAAAAACAGAGACAAAAAAGACACTATGCACCTCAGCCTTTTCTTCTATTTCTTCTTGTCCTCTATTAGTAGGTCCCTTGGATGTTGAGCAGTAGACCCACACTTTCTTTAGCCTACAAGTTGTTGCCCCCACCGTTCTTGTTTCTCCCAACATCCCTCATGAATGTCTAACTTCAGCTGAATTTTGGATGGACTTTTATCAACTCCATCCCAGAATACTCAGGCAACACCTCCACGTTTCTTTTGCTAAGTTGATGTCAGCTTTCATCTTTTCTATATTTTCTTTTTGTATTGTATGAGCTTCCCTCCATGAGGTTAGCAGTCCATAAATGCAAGTAGCCAATATCTCACAGTTGTTTATCCTCGTTGTTAAGAACAAAGAGCTGGCTATCAAGACCTGTGAAGGCGAGCCTTGCCTCATCTTCCCTTTGTGCTTCTTGATGCATTTGAAAGCAGTCAGGCATCCTGCCAAAACTGCTCACTTTCTGCATGTCAAAATAGGCCACTCTCATACTTTGTGAAAGTTATTCTTCAAGATTAACCAGCTCTCCTAAGCTCCTTTGCATACCTAGATCACTGCGAACAACAGAGAAGTCTTTTCTCATGAAGTCCAGGGTTCTAATTCTACCAGCCAATTCAGTTACTTCTTTCAGGACTTCAGTCTCCAGTCTATGACCACATCTGTGATCATCACTTCCTTATTTGCAAGTAACAGCTCTAAGCACCATCCCTAAGGATGCTCTCTGGAAACATGGATTTTAATTTCAAGTCAAACAGTTTAATTGCCTCCTTCAGTTATGCAAACTTTATTGTAGACAAACAACACAAAGCAATTCACACTTTTTCCATACTTGAGCAAAGAGCCTTTCACCCGCAAGTAATATCACAGCTACTTTATTTCACAACTCCATCATCTTCTGGCATTGCATCCACATTTTACAACCCATTTGCCAGAAGCCTTTTACCTACCTGTCAAAATAGTGCGTCACTTTTACCACATGCACATTTACTGAACATAATACTCTTCAGCAGGATATGAATACATTGACTGAATTGGCATTTGACTTCCATTGTGCTTACAGGCACCTGGGGTTTCTATTGCAACATAAGGGTAGGGATTAGTGCTGGATCATTTCACACACCTGATCTTTGGGTGCATCTCTAATAACTGAGGGGAGCTGTAACAATTAGAAAATTGTACTGATAAATAGATTGCAGAAACAATCATAGAATATCCTGAGGTAGGAGGACCCACAAGGATCATCAAGCCCAACTCCTGAACCCACAATTTCATATTAGTTACTGCTAATGATACATGCACACACATACACAAAGATGATTTTGGAAGGCTTATGCACTGACCACAGGTATTTTACGCACCAGTAGCCCTTTTATTTGTCTGCTAGCATCAATTGGATGAAAAGTAGTAGATACTACACTGTTCTCAAATAACTATATTAAAAGCATATTATCAGAAAAAGGAGCGTGCAGTCTCACCTCGAGATGATTTGCTGAGTGTCCCACTTGATGTACTAGCATCTGCTGACAAAGCCTGAACATTTTCCAAATCATTCTCTTTGGATTTTGAGCCCAGATTTATGAGAACCGCCTCCTCTTTTCCACTCGAATCATGTACAGGAGAAGATGAAGTTTCAGGATAGAGGCGTTTCAGCACTTTCTTTATGAACACTGTGGAGTAATAGAAGAGTTTTAAACAGGGAAAAAATAATCAGTGATTTAAAAGGTAGCTTAAGACATTGAAAGTACATGAAACCAAACTCTAATTGACACAAGAGTTTCCCTCATATCCAGTGCAAATCTGTCTTCAATAGTCCCTACCTCTCACATGTAATAAAGTTGAAGATTTAATATATTAAAATCCTAAACTGCGCCAGAATAGACCAGCTTTGAAACCCTAGGGACCACTAGCAAGGTGACTTATAAAGTGCTCTATTTGACTAGATTTTGGCAATAAATTAACACAGTACATTTCCAGACTAAACACATTTATTTTTAATTTTCTTTTAAAACAGATACTTTTAAAGATTTCTTACAGAAGTGTTACAAAGCTGCTTGAAGTACAGGTCTCTCCTGGGATAGTGGCATTACAATTGAATCACTCATTAAAAAAAAAAAAAAAAAAAAATCAGTAAGCTAAAACTGCTTAATCATATAGAAAAGCTGGTAAGCAGCAGTAGAAACACATGGTAATACAATCATTTCTACCAAAGTAGAACTGCTGTTATTTATGGGCTACCTTCTCATTTCACCTGCAATCTGCCACTAAGTCAAATGCAAGCATCATTTGATTAAAGAAAAGGAATATACGCAAAGAATTTAGTCATTAATAAAATTATCATCTGTATACGAACGCATGTACATTTCAATTGGTTCAAGTAACATTCTGTTGATTTTTTGTCTATTGCAGAACAATCCCAGGGAGGTGGTGGAGTCGTCATCCCTGGCAGCGTTCAAGAGGCGTCTGGATGACGTGCTGCGTGATGTGGTTTAGTGCTTGTGGTGGCAATGGTGATGGGGAGACGGCTGGACTAGATGATGTTATAGGTCATTTCCAACCTTGTGATTCTATGATCCCCAGTTTCATAAATTCCAAACCTTCAACCAGATATTGCAGGGAGACGGGGAGCGAGAAGGAGGGAACAGAGATTCAGAGGAAAATATCTGACTTTAATTCCAATTTCAACAGAAATTATACGGTTCATACAAGTGACTTGGTGCAGATTCTTGAAGTAACTCTGCTTAAAGAAGTTTATAGAAATACACAGTAGCAATTCACAGATCCCTTCAATAAATGGCCTAACTTTACAGCTGAAGAATCAGAATCATTGAGTTGGGAAATCCTTGAACTCCCAGTCCTGGAGATACAAGCTCCATCTTTCCATCATCTCCCCACACCGCCTTGATGATAGGTTTCAATTGTCATGTCACAGCTGCAGGGAAGAATGTCTTGGATTTTTTTTTGAGCTCCTACTAGTTTATGCATAATCACTTTTTGTTTGGTCCAAATTTCTTGAATAATCATTGACCTTATAAAAAGGCCCAAGAAAAGAGCTGAGCTTGAAGAGTCACTTGAGCAGAAAGCTTCATCTGAATTTAGTTTTACTACACATACTCCTGATAAAGTGGCATCAAATATACTGATACAAGCTACAAAGAGATACCCACTTCAAGAAAACAACCATTTTGCTGGATAATTATTGCAGAAAGACACTAACAAATCAGTATGTACCAAACACACTTTTTCCTTCTGAAGTTTCCTTGCCCAGGTATTCTTCCACTAGAAATACAAAGCCCACAATTACTGACTCCAAAGGAAAGAAGAGAAATAACCAACAAGTACAGTAAGACAAACCTAATTGCTTTGTGAAGAACTCTGACTCTAAAGGAAGCTGTCTAAGAGGTTTACCCTGAACCCTTTCTCCGTGAGCACAGCTATTGCAACACTTCAACCAACCCCAGATTCAGGCACTTGTACTGTACTGCACCCAAAGCAAGCACTTCTTTGAGATAATGGTAAATCTTACCAAGGAGGTAAGTGTTCTCCAAATCTGCTGTAGCTACGCTCCTTAGTAGCCACAGTAGATGTTCCACTCCTCACTTGAAGTCGGACTCCCCAAGTCATCTGTTCGCATTTCACTTCTCCCCAGAATGGCTCCTTTCTTCATTTTAAAAATATCTAAACTATACTCATATGCACATTGGCATTGCTTCAGAAGGCAACACACGAGATCACTTTTAATACACATTTATTCTTACAGACTCTCTTCATCTGTAACACCTATGTCTGATAAAGCAACCTGAAACACTTGCCCTTGAAAGGTACAAATACCTAGGAAGGCATACTTTCAACAAAAACCCTCTGGGTTAGAAATAAATGTCTAGATCAGTAGCAGCAATGTATTTACTCAGAAGAGATGTAGTTCAGCTGCCAACACAAAAGCTTTCTGGTTTTCAGCACAAACAAGGGGAGAAGAAGCTGGGTGCTCTTTACTGCCTGCAGCACTTGTGCATCTGACAGTGCCTTTGAGTACAGCAGGCATCTCCTTAGGAAACCAATAAGCCCAATAGCCACAACAGAACGGAAACAGGCAGCAATGACATCTAGGGCATAACAGTTGCCTGTTTGGAATCAGATATACTTCAAGCCTTCTGAGTACAGCAGGAATTAATGAACCCCAGCGGTAAACTTTCCCTGGGAAAATTTTAAAAGATGGCATTCCTAAGTAGTTAGAAAAAAAACCTGACTAATTTAGCTTGAGATATTAAGAATCCTAAGTGTGTTGCGGCCTGCAATAAACAAATAAATGAATGAAATCTGCCCATTGCTGCAACAAGTTTTCCTGCATACCAACAAGGGAATTAGACTGATGAAACAATATCTATCCTGCTACCCCACAACAGCTTTACAAGCACTCTGCTTTGGCTTTAAGAGTCTCTCAGAGCTGAGCTACCAAAACCTCTCAGATGATAGAGGATTCTGTCTCCTCGGGGTTCTATTACTGCAATTACTTAAAAAACAAACAAAAAAACCCCTAGTAATAAAAAATAATCCTGTTATGTCAACAAGTGTTGGCTTAACTACGGGAGGCTGGTCAGTGTCACCACTCAATGGCTTTTCTCCCCCATTTAGAACTCTCCCTAACTTGTTTGGAACTATGCAGCACCAGAGATCTATCTGTAAATCTGGTAAAAACTCCTCAGATTCTCAGAACTCAGAGAAGACTGAAGAAAATGCATGGAGCAAAGTATCTATCAGAGAAATAACTTTCTTATCAGAGCTCCAAAACAGAATAAGACTCACTTTTACCATTCCAGTAGCACAGCTATGTAAACATATTTATTTCTGTTGTTTTCCATTAGGGATTACTGAGGAAAGATCTATGCTGATTTGTACTCTCTTTCAAGAAAGCGATCCAGGAACACTTTACTCTTGATAGCAGATGGATGTTTCTTAACCACCATAAGCAATTTTGAGATATGCTTCTGAATGATCTAATTAATTCTTTATAAAGCACAGAAAAGTTAAGGATATGGTATTCAGAATCAGAACTAAAAAAAGTCACCACATTTATATACAATGCTCACACTTAAGACATAAATGATTTAATATTTCCCACTAAGCTTCAGAAGATATTCTTGAAAATTGTAGTGTTTCGGTCTGGGAGAGAAAGAATAGTTTAAGGGGAATTATCTCCAGAACTGAGCCTGAACTTGAACAAGAAAGAAAGATGAACAGCAATATGAAGCCAATTACAAGGAAGAAGGAGAGCCCTGCTGCAAGAAATACAGCAAACGTATCAGTGCTCTCAGTTCTGGAGTTTGCTTTGTTCTAACAGATGAGAAATCGCAAGTGAGAGAAGGAAGCAAAGAATTTTAAGGGCAAAGAATGGCAGTGGTGTAGATGTGCCAAAAGGAACAATGTACATAAGCAACAGCACTTCATTGCTTTCAATAATCCTAATTTCCCAGAAAGCAAAAGGACATCCATATGTTTCATAGGATATAGGCTAAGCAAGAATTAATAAAGGCACACTTAAGTATCCAAAGGTGGGCTGTAAGAAAGAAGGGGACAGTGTCTTTAGCAGGGTCTTTTTGATAGAAGAAGACTTTTTTTTTTATTTTCTATTTTTTTTTTTTTTAAATAAGGGCAGTGAAGCACTGAAGCAGGCTATCAGAGAGGCAATGGATGTCCCACCCTGGAGACACTTCAGGTCAGGCTCAACAGGGCTCTGAGTTTGGCCAATGCACAACAGGTCTTGAAAAGCTACCAAAGTAGTTTATCACGGCTCTGATCCTCTGAGGTACAATTGACAACACATTATTTGCAATGTGCCAAAAATTAAAGATGCGTTCTGAGTTCTATTGAGAATGTATATTGCAATGCATAGAAGAATGTCTCCATAGCTATGTGTCACTGAAGAAAGATGACTCTGAACATTCGGCCACACTATGACAACAGATGGAAGTTTGAAGCCTCTACCCTTGATGAACACAGCTCAGGGGTCTCCATGTCTTGGAGCTCTCTGTTAATCACACTGGAATTTGACACTGTCTCCCACAGCATTCTCCTGGGGAAGTTGGCAGCTCATGGCTTAAACAGGTGTACGGCTTGCTGGATAAAAAACCGGCTGAATGGCCAAGCCCAGTGGTGGCAAATGGAGTTAAATCTAGACGCAAAGAGCAGCGTGTCCCAGGAGTGAGTGTTGGGACCGGTCCTGTTCAATATCTTCATCGGTTATTTTGACAAGGGGACACAGTGCACTCTCAGCAAGTTCAAAGATGACACCAAGCTAGGAGGAAGTGCTGGTCTGCCTTATGGTAGGAAAGGCCTACAAAGGGATCTGGACAGACTGGCTCAAAGAACTGATGCCAACAGGATGAGCTTCAACATGACCAACTGCCAAGTCCTGCACTTTCGATCACAATAACCTCATCCAAGTGGCTGGAAAGCCACGTGGCAGAAAAGTACCAGGAGTCACTGGCTAACAGCCAGCTGAACATGAGCCAGCAGTGTGCTCAGGTGGGCATTAGGTTTTCATGGGCCCACTTCTCCAGCCTGTCCAGGTCCCTCTGGTTGGCTTCCGTCCAATGTGTTGACAGCACCACTCAGCTTGGTGTCACCTGCAAACTTGCTGAGGATGCACTCGATGCCAATGTCTGTGTCATTG